TCCTACAATCATGGTGGCGCTGCACCAAATGTAGTATATACGAGCAACAGCGCCATGATCCCTCGAAATCAGCCGGACATCAAGAGAAGCCGGCACCTGTTTAACCCTATTTTGTATACTCGCTGTACATGTTCATCTTACAAGGTGCATGCTAAGTTTGTTAAACAACTATCATGACCTCACTAAAGAAAGCTCAACTCACATCTTAGAATTATTATCCTATCCAACTACAAGATGGCTGGTTCGTGGCAGGTACCTCTACAACACGATCCTGCGGTTTAGCTGAGTTGATGGAGAACATTGATAGTGACTCCAGGGGTCTTCCTACAACCCTGGTCCATATAATGCTTTTACTAGATCCAACGGTTAGTGATTAACTGGTTATGTGGCCATATATGTTGCTCATGGTTTGGACCAGAATTCTTACAGTAGATTAGACTAATAATATATGGTGGTCAAAGATAACAAATTTTGAATATGTATCCACTTATATTTTAAGGTATAAAGAGTACAATATTTGTTTAAGTAGGTCACGGTGTGACTTTTGCTGTATTTTGCTCGAAATAGTACTAGAGAAAAAAGGTAAGGGTTGCATGCCCATGCTTTATGAGAGGTCTGCATGTCCTGCGCTTCTTTTGCCTGAAAGCAAGACAACCTGGACAACTTAGCACAGATCTATTTGTATCAATTGAACAAGTGTTCGTCAACAAACAAGCCGGCCAGAGATCTTGGTGGCATGTCGTACGTCCATGCCTAATTTTGTTGCCAAGGCCGCCCATAAATACTCAGCCAGCTGCTGCAACCAGCAACAACAATCACCACACATATCCCTCCCTCCCGCCCTCTCGATCGATCAGGAAATAAGGTAAGTTACTCCTGCTAAGTTGTTACGTCACCGATGGCCTCCTCGTCCTCCTTCCTGCTGGCCATGGCGGCGCTGGCAGCCTTGTTTGCCGTTGGATTGTGCGGCAACACAGTGACCTTGACGGTCGGCAAGGGCACCACCTCCACGTACACACACCTAGTCCTTGTCGCCAACGTCCCCATCCATGAGCTGGCGATCAGAGAAAAGGGCGCCGCGGAATTTTTGGACGACATGAAGGAGTCACCAGCCATGACCTTTACACAAGACAGCAAGGCACCGCTCAAGGCGCCCCTCTCCGTCCGCTTTTCTGTGAAGGGTGGTGGCTACCGCAACCGGGATGAAATTTTCCCTGCTGGATTGAAGCCTGGCTCAGTTATCAAAACTGATATCAAGTTTGAGGGGTAATCGGCACATCTCCTCTTCCACTGAGTCAAAATTGTTGACCACTATATAATTTTGTAAGATTGATTGAGGCCATAAATAAGCAGGCCAATAGTTCATTTACTACGGTTATTTTGTGGTAAACTACCGCAAAATAAAGTATACTAGGTTCTCCTGAATATTCTGGCGGAGCTATGTATACACACAATTTACAATAATATATTTTTATATGACATAAGATATCTAGTCAACCTTTTGTCGAGGCGGCTGTGTACATTTTATTTTTTCTAAAGTTATATTACATGTATGTGCCAAGATCAGTGAAGCTATTTTTTATCTTATTTAGCAAGTCCAAAATGTCATGAAAATTGCATTTGCACTTGGGATATTTTCTTTAACACAATTGTTCAATAACTACAAAAGTTTTACCCTATTCCAACCACTTGTCTTCACAGCGTCACAAATTTAATTGCAATTGGAGGCTCTATTGCAACATCTAAACTACTGAGTTGTACATGTTAGTCGTAACCTCCATTGGGAGAGGTAGGTGTAAAGGCCACGATAAATTGTTGTTGCAAGTAAGTGTAAATATTGCAAGAAATTATGACGCGTTGTGTTAATAATAAGCTGCTGGAATTCATGGCATCACCGAGGATGCGATGAACATTGATGAGCAAGCGGGAGGACATGCCGGAGCCGTGGTTCGTAATGGAGCTGCAGATCCTTGCCTAGTTTGGCTCTGGCGGTGGAAGGACCAGGCTGCGCCATGGCCACCGTTCGTGGCGGAGTCTATGGACGCGCGGTCCAGCCCCTTAGCGGGAGTTCCCAGGCACCGCTACGTGCGGTTCGTGGCACGCGCCGTTCATCAAGGAGAGTAATGAGGCTATGCTTAGGAACATCGTACATCATCCGCTAGTGTTCCCGACCGCTGAGCAACATCGTGCATTCATGCACAATGAGGCCACGCTCTACAAGATCCGTTAATCTATTCCATGAGCAACTTCGTGGAGCCTCTCAACGAGCGCGCCGATTATGTGGTAGGCTAGTAGCAACCGCTCTCCACCTTGAGCACAAAGAGGTCCTCCTTCCAGCTGACGATGTACACGTCGGCGCAATCGCTGCGAGGACAGCGAGGAGGGCGGTGTTCGCGTGGCTAGCTTGCGTGCCATGGCGCCATCGGAGCTTTGGTGCGGCCAACGGGAGGGCAGGCCGGGGTCCCTACATACGTCCGTGCGTCAGCATTCAGGGTCTCCAGGAAAAGAGATGGAAAGCTTGCATAAAAGGAATGCAAGTTAGTGGGACACCTAGTGGGGCATGATGTCAACACCTTGCATGATGAGATAGAACAACTAGTGAGATCACTTAGTGGAGAATGATGTGAATAGCTTAGGTCTTGTTTGTCTGCACACAAATACACCCCAATCCACGTGGTTTGAAAGGGATTGAGGTGGAATTTGAACTTGATTCTACCTCAATCGCTCCCAAACCACGTGGATTGAGATCTATTTGCGTGAAGCAAAATGAGCCCATATGATGAGACAAAACGTGTGTGGTGTTTTGCTTTATATGTGTATATAGATAGATATAGATGGGAAAGCAACCCAACGGGCCATGCTTGCAATGGTTATAGAGGCAAAAGATAAATAGAGTTAATAAAAAAGGGAAAATTAAAAAGACAAAATAACTTACACAGCATTATGTCATGATCGGGCCCTCATGATCGAGTAATAGCCTTTACGTCCAGTCGATGTTAGCCTTCACATTGGATTGCATATTGTTCGTTGTCACAAGGGGTGCCTTGCCTCTTTTTATATAGGGAGAGAAGGCAAGGCTGTTGTTCTGGTCCTTGTCAGATTCGACTAAGAGTCCTTGTTATTACAAAACCTACTCTTATCTTTGAATCCAACTAGGTCGGCCTATTTCCATATGAAGTCTGAGCTGTAGGGCGCGTCATTCTTCATGTCAGGTTATGGGACCGACCGAGGCCTTATCCGTATCAGTAAAGAACCTTGTATGTCCCGTATCGACAACCGTCCGACCCTCGGATGAAAGAGTAAGATATAGCGACCGACCGTATGTCACTAATCTATACTGACCGAACCTCCAACGGTATTTCAATATTTATACCGACACTATGATGGACGCTACTTGGGCTGTGGTATAGTGGTAGTGGTTGTATGTACTGTTAAATTTCTTTTGTCACATGCAACAAAAATTAAAGGTATTCTGTGTTATTATCGGGAAGCCATTGCATTAAAATGTTGTCCATTAAGCTATCTGAAGAGTACGTGGCACGCCATGATACCACATATAAGACAACATCAATACACTTGCCTTTAAGAAAATACAAAGCAGGAAGAGGCAACTCTAAAAACAAAATTTGAAATTTTATGGTGCATAGAAATAATGGGAGCCCGGTTTCGTTAGATTAGATGGTTTAAAAATAGGAAGGACCGGATAAGAGAAACATAAGTTGTGGACCGGAACCAAAAAAATAAATGGACTAGGAACCGATTTCTAAATAAATCTAGACGGCACAATAGTATTTTGACGTCTCCAAATCAATTAAAAAGAACAACTTCTCATCTCACATGAGCTACGCCCCCCTCACTAGTGCGCGGCCCCCGGTGGGGAGGGCTAGTAAACCGGCACCATGCAAGCACACCGCCACCACGCAACCTCTCCCCCCTCTCCTTTCTGTGCCGCAGCAGCGCTGCAAGCCTTATTTTTTTTGATTGGGTACAATTTGGACGCACACAACCCACACACTCTACACTCACACACACCACACACGCATGCGCGTTCCTCAGCCACTACTGGAAACTCAAAATTTCCTGTCGGTAAGATCGGCACCAACAGAAAAATTGTAATTATCCTATCGGGAAATGAAACCGAAAAAAAAATTAAAAAACCGACAGAGAAATTTATAATATCCTGTCGGTAGACACGTGAAAATATGTTTATTTTCTGTCGGGCTCGTTTTTTCCTGTCGGTATTATTCTAACACACAGGATATTACGATCGAAAAATTCCAACGCGCGTAGAGTTGCCGCCGGTCCGAGCATGTGGCGCCAAGCCAAAAACCCAAAACCCCCATTGAGCGCCAAAGGAAAAGAAGAGGAGGCCCAACATTGTGACCCAGCCGTGACTCAGGCTAATAAAAAAAAAAAAAAATCCCAAACATTATCCCCACGCACCCGCATCCTGAGAGGCCGCGGCTCCAGTCTTCCTTCGGCGCCGCCTCCAGCACGCGCCTCTCCTCGCGCCGCGCGCGCATATGCCGGCCCTCGCATCGCGCCGCGCGTACACCGGCCCTCTCCCGCACAGCTCGGCCGCCCCTTCCCGCGCAGCTCGGCCGCGCGACAGCGGGGTGCTCGGGTGCCGGGCCTCACACCGCCATCTGCCCCCATCTTCCTCGCTGCGACCCAAGGCGGCAGCTCGCTTCCCTGCCTCCCCTTCCCGCAGCTCGGCCGCGCGATGCCGGGGTGCTCGGGTGCCGGGCCTCGCGCCGCCATCTGCCTCGCAGCGACCCAAGGCGGCGGCTGAAGCTGCGACCCAAGGCGGCAGCTCGCTTCCCTGCCTACGTTTGAGGTATTATTCTCCTCGTCTTCAATCTCCGCTCCTGTTGTGTTCATGGGATCGTCAAATCCCGCGTCCTAAGTCGCTGAAACCCATACCCTAATTCCCAGATCTGCTTGTGGTGGTGTTTGTGACTACGAATCTGCGGTCAGAAGAGCCCGTGACACAACCCTACATGGAGGAGAAACCCATCAGAGGAGACGAAGTAGCCCGCAGCGAAGGAGCCGGAGCAGCCTGCAGCATCGACTCAGATTTGCTACTTCCAAGGGTAAGCATTGTTTCTTCCTTGTTTTCCTGCGGTTAATTGTCATTTTAAATAAGAAAAATGCACAATTTGTATGATCTTCGAGCAGCATGTCAGATGTATTGATGGAACTGAACTAGGGTTTTAGCACTATGTTTTGAGGGTTACACAGATTATGTATCTTATTATCATGGAAAAGCAGCTAGCTTTAGTTCGATCTTTTTTAATCTTAATATATGACGATTATTGTTGATGGTTAGATAGTGTGTCAAAAAATTAGTAGAACAGTGCCTTGGTTAAATTTGATATTGTGTGTTTGATTGAGGTGCTCTATGGATCTGCTTGTTTGTTTGTGTGTTTGTCATGTTTTCTAAAACACTACAACATGAGAACAATGTGATGCCTAATAATTTTATCTTTCAAATACAGCTAGTTAATATGTCACAGTACAGTTGGATGTATAGTGGCTGGCAGCGTGGTAAAGCGCCCTCTAATGAATGGATTGATCAAACCAATCAATTCTTGAACCATGCATTTTCTAATATGGATATAGGTACAAATGACACCATCAAGTGTCCTTGTGCCATGTGCCGAAACTATTTCAGTCTCAAAAGGGATATTGTAGGGATACACTTATGCAAGCATGGTTATAGGGAAGACTATGAAACATGGATGCAGCGCACAGGGAGTGATATTAGGCATGATGAAGGTCATAACATAGCAAACGTGGAGGGTTTTGATGAGGTTGATCGAATGGATCAAATGCTGATTGATCTAGCTGGGGATAATCCACCTATAGTAGATGAGCAACCAACACCATTTGCCACAGCTTTTTATAGGATGGCTGAGAGTGCCAGTGAGTTGGTGCATGAGGAGACCACACACTCTAGGTTATCTGCTGTTGCTCGCTTGCTTGCCATGAAGTCACGACACAACATGTCGGTTTCATTTCTGATGATATTGCTCAAAACCATGGAGGGTCTAGAAATTTCACAGAGACACAGCAAGTTCTGGTATGTCACATTAGCATTATCACTCTTTATCCCATAATGTTGTAATGACAGCAATGCCGTTCTACACCAGCCAATTGCCTTGCTTTTTTTTTACCTAGTGTATGTCACATTAACAAGTTCTGGTATGTCACATTAACATACTTAAGCTCTCTTTGCCATTGTCACTCTTTGTCGATCAGCTCTTTTCTTCACTAGGGAACCAAGTTCATTATTTCCATGTTACTTAGTTTAATTATTGGATATATTTAGATTAATTCTATCTTAGAAATATGTCTGTGTGTTGCTACTCGCTGACAAAGGCAATAAAGCGACAAAGTATGTTAGGCTGAGATTAATTCCCTTTGATAGCCTAGGTTTTTTTATCTCTGTTGGTGGAATATTTATTGCTTGGCTAGAATAATGTGGTGTTAATCAGTGTGTTCAGTTTGGAGCACTGTTCGCCTAAAGGGCCGTTTAGCCCGTTTACACACCGTTTAAACTCTACACGGTGGTACACCGTTTCCATTTAATCGGTTGTTTTGACTGTTTAAACGGCCGTTTTCCCCGTTTAAACACCCGTTTTGCCCAAATAATGGGCTAAACGGTAGGTGACCGACTGTTTACCGTTTAGCGTTTAGGATAACACTGGTTTGGAGGCAGTGGTTCTGTAGCTGATGAGGCTTATTTCGTGATTTAAGACAAAAAAAAGTTTGTAAGCGCTTTTCTATAAATTTGATCGAACAAAAAAACAAGTTTGACTTAAAATAACTTTAGAAATTGATTTATTTAGAGATGAAGAGAATATTTTCTATTTTCGTGTTATTTGTTTACTAGAAGCCACATCATAATAGATAAGAGTTTATATTGACATCATTGACCTAAAATCCTGGATCTGCCCCTGATTCCTAGCTGCCATCTATTATCATGGTGCTGACAATCAGCATTCAACTATTTGTATTTGCAGGGACTTAGGTTTGGACCACATAAGGGAACCCCTATTAATGCATTTGCTGTGATGAAATCTGGCATAAGAAATATAGATAGCAATGGTAATTGTGGTCCAATCAATAGCAGCAAAGCACAAGAACGCATGGTATGTAAATCTAAGTTCTAGTATGTCACATTAGCATCCTAATTGTTGTTCCTAGCAAAGCATGCTGTGAAATTCACTTGTTCTGTAGATTTGGCAGAAAATATGTGTTTTCCTACAGCCCTAAGTTGATTGCACAATTCATTGCTACTTAACTACTTTTGCTCTAGTTCTGCACTAACTTAGATTATAAAAAAACAGCCAACAATATCCAATACTTGATGCTAGCGAGATTGTACCATAAAGTATACATATTGATAAATTCATTGGCACAAAACTGATAGTGCATTTGTCATGAAATATATATTCATTCATATCATAATATTGGGAGTTGTTTGTAGGATGAGTATATAAATGGGGTTAAGAGGGCTAGACAGGAGCATGAAGAACATGAAGAGGACGGGGAGCATGAACACTATGAGGATATGGAAGAGGTGGAACAAGGGCAAGGGTCAGAACATGAGCAAGAGTTGAATGCAAAGGTGTTGTATGACGTGTCGGGTAGTATGACCACCCATGGGCGCTTTGCTATAGGATATGGCGCTGTTAGGGCAGCCGATATCAGAGCAGTTGCGAAGGAGAATAATGTGAGTCAATCAAATCCAGTTTCACTGCAAATGTTGGCCCGACAAAATGCATAACTATGACGAGAAAATGCAAGGCTACAAAAAGAGAAGGATAGTGCGACACAACAAGGCAAAGTTGCTATAGATCTGACAGTGGTATGTATGTGAGATGATAGTATTTTTTCTATAGGCAAACCATTTTTCATAATCTAAAATATTTAATGTCTTCACTATAGGCACTTTATGAACGCTTAGGACTGGCACAGGAAATTCCACGGGCATCTTTAAGATTTGCATCAGCAGTAGCAGCACAAGGAATTGTGAGTACAGCTAGCACAACTTCTCCCATTTTCCTTATATTTGGCAACTATATGACTATATTGGCAGTCTTTCTCTAGTTTAGCTAGCTGGAAGATTAGCTTCTCCTATTTTCCTTATATTTGGCAATTATATGACTATAATGACAGTCTTTCTCTAGTTTAGCTAGCTGCCAGATTAGCTTCCCCCATTTTCTTTATATTTGGGCAACTATATGACTATAGTTTTGATGTGGTATTCAGAATGGCAACATGCAGTCCAGTGAGGAAGTGGCCTCATCTTGATTCTTGCATAGCTACTGGACTTAAATTGAATTAATTGAGTAATAATGGTAAGGTAGATATTTGCATTTGGTTCACTTCCCATGTACTGGGACTCAGTTGAAAATAGTTAGCACTCTTCTGTTGTTAGCAATAATCCTACATATTATTGGTGTCTTGCTTAATCAAAATATCCAAAAAAATAGATTGTGTTGTTATTCTGGAAGCTTAAGGAGATATGTGTTGTTATTCTGGAATGCTCATGAAGGTGTTGCCTTAGAACAAAAGTAGATGTTATTTTGGAAGCTTAAGGAGATAGGTTTATCAAGATTTGATTTTGATTTTTTTCCAACTTGGCTTTGAGTGTCCTTGAGCAAGTAAGGTTGATTTACATATTATACAACATTCTTAAAAGTTCAGTTTTCTACAGCATGCTTTGGTCATCTAAATATGTTGTTTGGTTGCCCACCTTTCTATGTGAGATGTTTGTATTGTCTGATTTGGAGATTGTATAGTCACTTTATGGGTTGGAGTAGTTAGCATCTAACTAATATTTATCTTCATATATATAGGCCACTGGTTCTTCTCATGTTGGCTCGGAATCAGCTAATGATGCCAATGCGGTGGATGGGCACAATGAAGACAATCTCAATGACACATACAGAGCTGCATGGGAAACAGTGAACTGCCATAGTGGACACCATGCTTGAAGGTAGGATGTGTGTTGTAGTGGCTGTTGGTAGTTGCCACTTCTAACCTTTAGATAGTAAAGGTGCAGCCACAGAAGTTGATGCCAGCTTTTGGGAAAGACTAATCAACTAGTGGATGCTTTTGTGACCTATGGTCATCTTAATTATGTAGTTGTAGATGCGAGACCTGTGGACATCTTAATTATGCAGATGTGGATGTTAATTTGTGGCTGTTGATGCCAACTGTGGACATCTTAATTATGCGAGACCTGTGGAAAGACTTTGGCATGTTTATTTGTGGCTGTTGATGCCAACTGTGGGCATCTAATCTGTGTATGGATTCTGGATAATGAGAAACGATGCAATATATTTGTGTTCTAGTTGAAATATCATGCAATATATGTTTGTGGATGTACTGTTATCATGAAATATTGTATGAAATTATGGCCTCGGGACTGCAATATTTTTCTGTCGGTATGAGTTTGTTTTTCTGTTGGAAGCCGCTGACACGAAAATTAGATTTTTCCTGTCGAGGTGCCGTCAACAGGAAAATAAATTATGTTCTGTCGTTGAGAAGCTATTATCCTGTCGGTACAAAACCAACAGGAAATAATATTTTTCTGTCGGTGTGGTCATTTTTTTGACGTCATTTACCGACAGGGAAACAAATTCAGATCTGGCGGAGCGCTATTTTCCTGTTGACGCATTACCGACAGAAAAAATGACAAACCGACAGGAAATAAAAAAATACCGACACGAAAAATCTATTTCACTGTCGACCTGGTCCTGTTGGGATTTTCCTGTCGGTAAACAGACAGAAAAATATTTTTCCCTATTTCCTGTTGGTATTGTACGTTTTTCTGTCGGTTTTCAACCGACAGTAAATTTTTACTTTCCAGCAGTGAGCACTGTAAGCCTTTGCCGAGCCAAGCGCCGCCACGATCGATCTCGCACGATACAAAGCAGCACCAGCCGTCCTCCTTGATCGGATGGCTCCATAGAGTCGCGCTGCATCCTCCGCATATCTCGTAGCTTGAACCGTTGTCATGAATTGGAGACGGCGACGCAAGGAGAATGAGATCTAAGTCACAGGCACCAATGACTCCAGTTCATGGATTGGGAGAGATCCTGGAAGGACTAAACTGCACTTAAAAACAATTAATTAATTTCCGTAATTAATAGGTGCGGTATATATTTTCCACGGAGGAACCGGTGGTTCCTGCCAAGCACCGTAAGAAAGCTCTGTAATTTCTTGAAATTACAATATCTCTGTAAATGTCGAGAAATATAAAAAAGTGGAGAGAAATAAAATATATGAAAAATACATGGAAGAAAAGAAGAACTAAGTAACATGAAACAGAAAATGCCCTCAGGATTATATGTCGGAAAAGAAATACTCCCATCATCTTTGTTTTACATGTCGTATTAGCTTTGTCCTTTGTTAAAAATTTTATACTTGATTATCAAATGAAAAAAAATATTGTGTAGACTAGTGATGAAGCTAATATGACGTTCAAGAAGTCGGAAGGAGGATGAGTCAGTGGAAAAAGTACAAAAATGAGATAGGGCTAGAGTCTGCACGTGCGACTGATGGAAAGGGAATTGGAAACAGATGGGGATAGGGATGGAGGCGAGGCCGGTGTGACAGCGGCCCGTGGCGGCACCGCACACGGCAAGTAGTAGTGGAAGCTGCCTGCTGACCACAGGCCACACAATGCATCATCCGCTGTGTCCTAAGATTATTCGTCTTACTTCAATCATTAATTATCTTCATTTGGTTGAAAAATATCAATGGCAGCAAATTGCAGCGTATTAGCCACGTACTAGACAGCGTATCAGTTGCAAGTCGTTTCATTCTCTGCAAGAAAACGGTAGCCATCACGTTGCGTGGCTAAAGCCTACTCATCCTCTAGAAGTGAACCAGTCGGAGAGAAGTGCATTTTTCTTTCACCCTGACCTAGGGATGGATTCCAACCGCTTGGCATGGAGACAAATCTGGACAGCAATATATAATTACTTGTCATTTTAATTCAAAGTTTTATCAAAAGTCTATCAACATTTACAGCATGAAAAACGTAAGGGTAAAGTCCATTTGAACTGTCACCGAGGGGATTGAATCCTCACATAAATATACACTGATGTATCATCAACAGGCTCATTTTGACAGTATAATAGTCTAGCTTTTTTTTGTCACTTTCTTTGTATCTTAAAGCTTCCCTGTAACCCTGTAATCCTTGTAAGACCTTTTTTTTTTATTCGATAAATTCCGTGCAGAGGCTAAGGCCCCTCCAGTTTCATCAAAAAGAAAAAAAAACTCATTTTGAGGAAAAAAACGAGGCAAAAACCTTTCGTCCGGTTAAATTTGAAAAACCGGACTAAAACAAATAAAGTCTTTTTTTTTTAGCTTTTACTATTGAAACCAGATAATGGAAACTGTGAAAACCAGACAAATTTGCACCACTAACTGGTATAAAATCTGGTTTTCAATTTCTCAAATCAATAAAAAATGGTCTGGTCTCTAAAATACATTATTAATTTCAAATAAAAAAATCTGAGACTAGTACTCGATTTTGATCTATTTATTTTAAATAAATATTAAGGTGCAACTAGAGCGATGTTGAAAGATGTACTTTCCCAAACAAAAAAAAAGTAAAGTCTACCATAGATATTATTGTTTCTGTACACAAAACGTGGTCAAACATAAAGATATTTTGGCTTAACAAACCTAGAGAGTGATCGCAACAGAAAATAAAAAGTAATATCTTATCGATCATTTCTAATAACCACTGATCACTACTATTCACGACATCATGTTGAAGCAGACAGCATGCTCTTCACAAACTCTCGGGGCCTGCAGACAGCAGCCAACGGTGTTGCCATAGGCATGGACAGCCCACCACCTTCGGTCATGTCAATGGTTCTCCCTTCCCCAACGTCCCACTCGAAGCACTGCACAAGCGCCGCCACCATGGAGCTAACAAGGCGCATGGCCATGGCCTCGGCGGGGCACCGCCTCCGGCCGACCCCGAACGGCAGCATGGGCACGGCAGCCGCCGTTGTCACCTTGCCACCATCGTCCAAGAACCGCTCCGGCATGAACTCGTCCGGCGCGTCCCAGGCCGCCGCGGGGTCGCGCTGGATCGCCCAGGCGTTTACCAGGATCATGGTGCCCCACCGGACGTGGAACCCACCGACAGTGCAGTCCTCCATGGCCTCGTGCGCCGGGATGATCGGGCCCACAGGGCGCAGCCGGAGGGTCTCTTTGACAACGCACTGTAGGTAGGGGAGGCTGGCGATGTCCGATTCCTCCACCAGCCGAGCTGTTCTGACGTGTGTGTCGATTTCGGCCCTCACCTTCTTCATGGCTTCGGGATGCAGCAGTAGCTGTGCCATCGCCCATTCGATTGTCAGCATAGATGTCCCAGTCCCTCCTTGGAGTATTGCCTGCACATGTACCGTACCATGATTAATGACTGAAGGTAATTCACACTAATTAGTTTTTTTTTCCCAAAAAGCCATGTGCAAGAAATCTGCTAGGCATGTATTAATAAAGAAGAAGCAACCGACAAGAAAAAGCACTACAAAACTTCTCAATGGCAGCCAACAAAACACCATGAAACACAAAAGCCCACGAAGCCACCAAAGCAGCTGTAGACAAATAACCTTTCATGACACAACAAACAAGGAAACAACTTGGGGTGTGTGGGTGGTACGAGGCCTTGTGTCATCGCCGACCAAGGGACAAACATTGGCGGAGCCACGTGGGGGCCATAGTGGGCCATGGCCCCCCTTGCCTTCCTGCGCTCCATGGCCATAGCAGCATCCAGCGGCGAGCAAGGCAGCAGCTTGTTCCGGGCAAAGGTTTTTCAACCAAAACCAAAGGAGGTTGGAGCCTCTTGTGTCAATGCCTCGAACGAGGAGTGTGGCGCCAATGGCCTCACCACTATGTGAAACGGCAAGAAGACGGGCAGGACTTTCACCCCAAAGTCCTACTCCAAAACTCACGCATTCAAGAAGCTACTGGTTAAAACGAATGCCAAAGTGGTATGCGGACCACAGTCTAAAGCTGATATTCTCAAGGTGGATTTTCAACGGCTATGTGTTGAAACACTGGTTATTCAATCAACGGTTTAGTGTAAATCACGATTCGTGCAAGTTAAAAGTTGCACATCAAGGGCGACTTTGTTACCCATGTCGGTTTCCCGGACACCACCAGCGTCGTCGCGCTTTCGACGGTGATCCTCGATTAGGCCGACAAGCAACGCGTCGCGCCTCGCCTGTGTTAGCTAATCATCGCCACCTTGTGTGCAATGAGAGGAAGGCGGGCGCCGACCACGTGTGTCTGACACGCAGTAGCGCCGTGCAGACGGCTCAGCAAGATCAGAGGCATCACGTTGGCCGGGCGCAGAGTCGACCCATGCTTATCTAGTTAACGTAACTTTAGTTAGATAGATAGAGTTGTATAAATAGGGCACCAAGGCAACTCAAGAAAAGAGAGCTCGATTTGCCGCGCTGACAGAGCTTCGGCCAACGTTGTTGTCTTGTATTGTGCGTGCTTGCTCTGTTCTCCCTTCTTCTTCTAGCTCGATCCATAGTGTGTGGGTACGGACATAACCGGTGTAGTAGTCTGGGAGACTAGTGGTCTGGAGACTAGTGGTCTGGTCTGGGAGACTAGTGGTCTGGGAGACTAGTGGTCGGAGACTAGTTCACTATCGTCAGACGGTGATCCTGTGGGCCAACAAGTGGTATCGGAGCCGTACAAGGGCCGTTGTCATTCTAACCGATGGCGAGGACAAGCGGTTTGGAGTTGGGCGATGGCAGTGGCACTGTCATAGCTGCCCAGCCACTACCGGAGGTAGTTGTCCGCACGGTGCGGGAGGTCAGCGGCACCACTTGGCCGACGCTGACTCGCACTAACTATGGAGAGTGGTCGGTGACCATGGAGGTCAAGCTTCAGAGCCGATGGCTCACGGAATACTGATTTGACAAGGGCACCGCGTGGAAGAAGACGACATGTCGGCGTTGGAGGCTATCCTCGTTTGCTGCACCGAGTATAGGGAACCCTAAGGCGTGGGAGGCCATTGCGGCGGCGGTCGGTTCCGACCGCGCAAAGAAGGCGGCCCTGCCTTCAAGCAGGAGTATGCAAACCTCAAGTTCAAGGATGGTGAAACGATGGAGGACTTTTCCCTCCGCTGCAGACGCTCATCGAAGAAGTGAAGAGCCACGGCGTCACCATCGACGAAGAGGAGGCGGTCTCCAAATTCCTCCTCCGCGTCGGCAAAGTACATCCAGATCGCTCTCTCCATAGAGACGATGTGGACTTGTCCACCCTCACCATCGAGGATGTGGCAGGTCATCTACAGGCGGTCTCGGCGCTGGAAGCGGCAAAGCGACAAGAACGGCGACGCTGGGAAACTCGCGACGGAAGAGGAGTGGGCTGCTCGGCGAAACTCCGGAAGGCAGCCTCCTCCGGTCAAGCGGTGGCAACGCAAACATTGCGGCAGGGCTTCTTCGGAGAAGAAGCAAATCGACTCAACGCTGTCGGTGTTACGGGAAGATGGGCCATTGGGCACGGAGTGCCCAAATCGCAAGAAAGGAAAAGAAGGCTCAGCTCACTGGCGAAAGTCGATGATGAGGATGAGGCCACTATCCTTATGGCGCGCTACGTTCGCGTAATCGCGCGCCGAGGCCATGGAGAGGGAAGAGGCGACGACGGTGGAAGGATCTAGCAAGGCCTCAAGACCGTCAACCTCGATGAACCACGCGCCCAAGTCCATCTTGGGCATGTGGGCGTCGACCAGAGCAGCGGTGGACGGACTCGGTGCAAGAACACATGACGAGCTCCAAGGACTCCTTCTCCGAGCTCGACGGCGATGTTACCGACGGTGAAGTTTGGTGACGGCTCAAGGGTGGCTATCCAAGGGCGCGGCACCATCATCTTCGAGATGCCGAGCGGGAGCAGCGCGCGCTAACGGATGTATACTACATCCCGGGTGCGTTCAAAGATCATCGGCGTTGGTCACCGGATGAGCGGTAGCGAGGTTCGATCAAGGACGGCATTCGAGGATTAGAGACCGGGAGAGCGACTTCTCGCCAAGGTGAAGAGGTCCTCGAACCGGTTGTACCCTTTCGACCGAAGGTAGAGCAGCCGGTTTACTGGCGGCAAGGCACTCCGAGGAACCGTGGATGTGGCATGCCCGGTTCGGACATCTCGGCACCGACGCTTTGGTCGGTGGGGAAGATGGTCCGGGCTACCCCACATCAAACATGGAGGTGAGCTATGTGAAATACTTGCTCGGCCGAGAAGAAAGAGGAGGCTACCTTTCCCAAAGGCGGCCAAGTATCGCGCAAAGGAAGCTCGAGCTAGTTCACGGCGACCTCTGCGGGCCGATCACGCGCTACATGCGGTGGTCGGCGGTACTTCCTCCTACTCGTGGACGATTGCGATGCGCTACATGTGGTCGCAACTCCCGACGAGCAAGGACGAAGCGGCGATGGCGATCAAGAAGTTCAAGCGCGCGGAGGCCGAGAGCGCAAGAAGCTTCGTGACCGAGGATCGATCGGGTGGCGAATTCACTTCGGTGGAGTTTGCTAGCATCGCGTGGATCAAGGTGTGGGGCAACATCACACCGTATTCCGCCACAGCAGAATGGCGTGGTGCGGCGACGACCAGACGTGGTCGGCATGGCCGATCCATGATGAAGGCCAAAGGGATGCGGCAAAGTTTCGGGAGAGGCGGTGACCACGGCGGTGTTCATCCTCAACCGCGCTCCAACCAAAGCCCTAACGGGCAAGACGCCGTTCAAGCTTGTACGGAGGAAGCCGAACGTGTCATTCCTCCGGACATTCGGTTGCATCGCCACACCGGGAAGATCGAACCTCACCAAGTGGAGGATGTGAGCACACCCATGGTGTTCCTGGCTACGCTAGCGGAGGGTACCAAGGCGCATCTGGCTCTATGACCCACGCGGAGACAAGGTGATCGTCTGCGGACGTTGAAGGTTCAACGAGGAGGCAACTTGGGATCGCACGGTCCGAGCACGGGAAAGCGGGAGGCTTCACCAACACCTTCGTCGTCGAGCACTTGGTCATCCACGGCGGTGGAGACGCTCATGTGCCACGCACTCGGAGGAGCGCCGAGCACTCCGGCGGTAGAGTCGAGCACTGGGCTGGGCAAAGTGCCGAGCACTTCAGGAGGGATGCCGAGCACTCCAGGAGGAGTGTCGAGCACTTCTGGAGGAATGCCGAGCACGCTAGGAGTGGAGCCAGGAGGTTCTATAGTGGCGGCGACCACTTCAGGATGGGTACCGAGCACTCCCGTGGAGGAGCCAAGACGTCTTTATTGTGGTTCCACCACTCCAAGGCTCGAGGTGGGCACTCCTCAAAGTGTTGAGGAGTTATGACGAAAGCGATCCCGAAGCGCGGTGCGAGCACTTTAGGTGCTATGCGTGGCACTCCGGCGGAAGAGGGAACTCCATCACCCCGATCGAAGTTCGCCTCACCTCCAAGTGACATCACCGAAGTTCGTGGACGCCTACCACGAAGGTGAGGAGTTGAGGTTCCGCAGCCGGACAACATCGTCGGGCACACACAGTCCCTCGCAGTATGGCGGTAGGTCTGCTCAACGACGCAGAGCCGCTACTCGCCGCGGTCAGAGGAACCACCCACGTTCGCGCTTAGCCGAGCCGCGCGATGGAAAACGGGCAATGCTTTGGAGGAGATGAAGGCGGTCAAGGAAAACGAGCATGCTCGTCGATCCACCCCGTGATGTCGTCCGATCAGCTGAAGTGGGTGTACAAAGTCAAAAAGGACGAGCTCGGCGCCATTGTCAAGTACAAAGGCGTGCCTCGTCGCCGAGGCTTTGTCTCGGCCAGCGAGGGCATCGACTTCGAGGAGGTCTTTGCACCAGAGTAGCGCGCATGGAGTCGGTCCGTTTGCTACTTGCTTTGGCGGCAAACAAAGGATGGCGCGTCCATCACTTGGGACCTTAAATCGGCCTTCCTCAACGGCTGGCGGAAGCGGCGGAAACGGTCTTCGCCGGGCAACCTCCGGTGTTCGGCCGTCAAGGGAGAGGAGCATGTGGTGCTCATCAAGCAAAGCGCTCTACATGCCGAGGCAAGCCCTCGAGCATGGAACGCCAAGCTTGACACCATCTTTGGGCGAGCTTGGGTTTCAGAGTGCGCGCAACCGAGCACGCGCGCTTCTACACGCGATGACGGGGAAGGAAGAACTCGTGATCGGCGTGTATGTGGATGACTTAATCATCACCGGCGCAGCGACGGAGGATATCAACGACTTCAAGCGAGAGATGACAGCTCGTTTTTGAATGAGCGATCTCGGCGCTCTCTCCTACTATCTCGACATCGAGGTGACAGGGGAAGGAGGAACTCACGCTCGCAAAGCGCGTATGCCTCAAGCTGTTGGAGAGGAGCGGCATGGTGGAGTGTAAGCCATGCGTGACTCCGATGGAGGAGCGGTGAAGTCGACGAAGGGACGCATTGGCGAAAGTAGATGCAACACTCTACCTCAAAGATCGCCGGTGGTCTGCGCTACCTAGTCCACACAAGGCCGGACATTGCGTTTCGCCGTGGGCTACGTCGATCGCTTCATAGAGGATCCCAGAGAGGATCAGCGGGCTGGCTGTGAAGCGGCTACTATGCTACGTCAAGGGACGGTGAATCATGGAATCATCTTCCCAAAGACCGGGGAAGTAGGGCTGCAGCTCACGGTGTTGGCCGATGCGAACATGGCGGGAGACATCGACGACGACGGAGCACCTCTCGTGTACTCGTCTTCCTCGGGTCAGCCGTAATTTCATGGTCGTCGGCCGAAAGCAGAAGGTGGTGGCGCTATCTCACGCGGCGAGGCGAGTAGCACGAATGGTGGCGCCACAGCGCGCGCCAAGTTGTGTGTGGCTACGCGTCATGGCTGCCGGGTGAGCTAACGGCGTGGAAGCTCACCCACCAAAGACCGATGGTGGACAACCAGCCCGTCATCGCCTCGCGAAGAATCCGGTTCGCACGACCGGAGTAAACACATCGACGTAAAGTTCCACTTCCTCGTGGACTGTGTTGATGGAGGGCGATCGTCATCGAGTTTGTCGAAACCGGTCGGCAACTCGCGGACGCCCTCACCAAGCCGCCGAAAGACTTCGACTCACGGAGTGAAGGAGATGATCGGCATGAAGGGGTGCAAGGATTAGCGGAGGATTAGGGAAGATTGTTAGCTAATCTCATCGCCACCTTGTGTGAAACACAATGCAGAGGAAGGCGGCGCCGACTTTGCCCCTGTTGTAATATCAGAGAGTCAGTAGGTGCAGCGCCATGACGGCTCACCTGTAGTATGTAGGGCACATGCAGTGGCGGGCAGAGTCAGCCCCAGATGCTTATCTAGTTATGTTACAGCATGTGCGTTGTAACTTTAGTTAGATAGATAGAGTTGTATAAATAGAGCACTAAGGTCAAGAAAGAGAGCTCAGATTTGCCATCATCACGTAGACATTTGGCTTTTGCGTGCTTGCTCTGTTCTTCCTTCTTCTTCTAACTCGATCCATAGTGTGTGGGTACGGATATAACCGGTGTAGTGGTCTATGAGACTAGTGGTCTGGAGACTAGTGGTCTGGTCTGGGAGACTAGTGGTCGAAGACTAGTTCATTATCATCATACGGTGATCCCGTGGGCCAACAGCCTGCAGCCTCGCAAGCGCCACGTCCACGCCGCGTAGCCGGTGGACCCACCGCAACGCAGGGTACAGGTCCCCAACGCTGGGCGCCGCGTTGAGCCTGACGCTCTCCTCGACGATCTCCTGCCACCGCGCAGCGTCACTGCCGTGGAGGGACACGCCGATGAGCGCACGAAGCATCACGTTGATGACGAACTCGAAAAGTCTGGGCCGCAGGGTGACCATCATCAACGGTGTAGCACCATCAGTTGCATCGCGAAGCAGGTTGTCGACGAGGGCAGCGACCTCAGCTCGGCGGTCGGCGGCGCGTGCGGCGAGGCGGGAGGCCGAGAGGAGCTCGGCGCTGAAGAATCTGCGGAGCGTCCACCAGTGGTCGCCGTAGGAAGCCCACAGGATGTCAGTGCACCCGTAGCCGAGGACGCCCCTGGCCAGGAGGCGCGGGCGGCCCGCTAGGGCGGCGTCGCGCTCAGTGAAGCACTCGACGGCTGCGGCGTGCGCGGACACCAGCAGCGCGCGCCGCGCACCAAGACGTAGGGAGAGGACCGGCGCTGCCGCGCTGACCCCAGGACGACCTTGTGCAACCGCGAGTGAGGCCAGGGCGCGGTGCAGTGGGTAGCCGAGCAGATGGAGGTGGCCGAGCAGAGGCAGCGACGGTGGGCTCGGCGCTCCGCGTAGGACGCGTCGTCGTCTGGACTGGATGGCGGTGAGGATGACTAGCGAGGAGACGGCAAGGAGCAGGAGAGGAGCGTCGGCACTGCCTGCTGCTGCGTCCATGGTATCTTAAGTATTGCGGATACCACACGATACGATGCCGTCACAGTGTGACCTAGTGATTCATTCACTTATAGCCTCCATCTGTATTTAAAGTGGTGTCCGACACGTAACGTGTGGGCTGCCGCCATCCAGGAAGATGCTGCGGCGACATTCTCCCACAGGCCACAATGCATGCGATATACATGTCCACACCAGATCGATCATGTATTGTTTTTAGTTTGATTTTAAGCATTTGTCGTCATCAGACTACGAATTAATCACAAACGAATGGCTGGCACTGACTCCCCTCATTCGTGGCAAGTCGTTTCCTTGAATCGACCATCCAGAAGAAAACAGGATTGAGCAAAGGATAGAGTGAATTGGTCCGGCTTCTAGACTCTTTTTATTCACCGGCTGCTTGCTGGTCAAGTCACGGCTGATCAGCCACTCCCCTTCTTGCATTTGTCGCCTTGCTTTGCTTGTACGAGGAAGTAGCAATAATTTAAGAAACAAAGAGTGCCGACGCATGCATGATGGCGATCGAGACGACGTACCTGTGTGTGATTGGCCGTCGAGGGAGGAAACTTCAGATGCATACATAGATATATAAATAAATTGTTTGTGGATTTGAATGACTTGGTCAAGATCCACGTGTCATATCGCCAGCCACAATTGCAGTGGCCAGGAGACTGGAGATCGATGCGAAAGGGACTCCTCGAGCCTGTATGTAGTCTTCCCCGATTCCTCAACTCCGATCAAAGAAAAAGCCATCTTCACGATCTTCTTGCTGGGCACGTCGTCCCCTTGGAATGAAGTCAACATGGATATGATGTCACTGCTTGCATTGACCCCTTTGATGCCATATACAGTTGTGTCACATCTTTGTACATAGCTGCAAGGCGAGGATCAATAGCCAATGCGTTGCAATCAGCTTGGCTAGAATCTCATCAACTCTAGTATATTCATCGTGCCCCTCGGTGACCTCCTCGAGTTGATATTCTTCATGCTTTCTTTGGCGCCAGATATGTTACGGTGAGCTTTTCAGAAGCTGTGTTCGCCACGGCACGATACTCAGCCTCTACGCTCGACCGTGACACGGTCGGCTGTCTCTTCGATGACAGGGAGACATGAGACTCGTAAGGCAGACATAGAAGAAAGATGTAGATCACCGGGTCCAGTCCACGTCAGCAGTAGTACGTAGAGAAATGTCTTTTGATCCACTCTGATTTTTGGCTTTAGTCTCGGTATTTTTTTTTTGTCCGGGAGTAAAAGGAGCATTAGTCCCGTTTATAGCTACCATGCGGCACTAAAGTCCCCTGTTGGTGTTACCAACCCGGACTAAAGGTCCTCCAACCTTTAGTCTCGGTTGGTAACACCAACCGGGACTAAAGGGTGACATTTTAGTCCCGGTTGGTGTCACCAACCCGGACTAAAGGTCTCCCACCCGGGACTAAAGGTCCCCTACGGGTCAATTCAAAAGGAGGAACGCACAAGACTCTGTCACATGTGGTGTACAATTGAGTTGGCAAGGAATCTACGCGCGAGGCGAGGGGTCATGGGTTCGGATCACACACAGCGCAAGAGAGAGGTCTCGAAGATTTTGTTTATTTTTCACCCGAGGACGGAAGGTGGGGCACTTTTAGTCCCGGATTCTTGCTCCCGGTTGGGCAACCGGGACTAGAAGGGACTTCCCAACCGGGAGTACAACCGTTCTCTGTGCTAGTGCAGGCTACGCCGTGACAGTATAGATTCTGTTCTCAACAAACTGAAATTTATATACTCCTTGTACAACAAAGTCAGAATCATTTACTCCATGTAAACAAGCAAACTTTTGTAAAAATCTTGCATGTTTGTTGGATCCCAACAAAGAAGCAAGATTTTGTACTAGATGAGACACCCAATGCACACAGCGTGCAGATGCAAGCTTAAAGTTTCCTCTGAAGCCCCCAGAGGACCCAAGACGATTCTGCACGGGCAACAAATCCAGTCCAAGTACATATATGGATGCTGTAGAGAAATTAAAGCAAGAACGCAAATAGCGACTATAGAAATCCTGTCCAACCATGTTAAATACAGTAGGTACCCGCGACATAGGAAGCAGTATAGCGGCGGCGGCAGTTTGTTGACGGAGGAGGAACGAAGAGTACTAGAGCCACAGGTAGCTGACAGCTAACAGGTTGGGATGCTAGGTGGGCTCCGCAGGAAAACGTGGGCCGGGCGCTGGTCTGCTTGTTGGCTTGGGCTGAAAAGGAAGAGAAGAAAACACCTTTTTTTGCAAACTTGCGCTGGAGCCACACAACTCTAGTCTAGCCCTATACAGAATCAAAATACTATGCACTAGCGAGAATGCAACAAAAGTGTTTCTTGCCGCTCCTCATATTTGATTTTAAGTATAGAAAAATATTATTTAGCATAAACAAATTCTATAACATTAGTTTTGAACTGAAAAAATATTTTTAGGGTAATAGATTTAGAAACCAGTTTCTAGGGTGCACGGACACAGGGGATTCTGAAAACCACCCCGACAACAAATCCATTTTCACTGCAGCTAAAGAATGGTCTATATAGTAGTGCACCTGACCTATGAAATCAGCTTATTAGTATGAAATGGGACTGTCACCTCAACCCAGAACAATTTAAGTGGCCAGTAACAATTTACAAAATTCTACAGATAATACTCTGCTTCAACCGGGCACAAACTGGAAGCCTCCAAGCGACCTGGCAACTGTTTAGCGACTTCTGGTGTCCAGAAATCTCCATGTACGCATAGGTCTAAATTTTTTTTTTAAAAAAAACAATCACTGCTCCTACCGTCCTCCCATCAAATCAAAGTGAAATAGATAAACAGGAGGTGTCACCCCTCGATGCCTCCGCTTCTTCCCTTCTTCCTCTACACCAGTCACCAGTGGTGATCCATGCGGATAACAGCCCTGGGTGGCTGTGTGAAGAGATGTGGTGGCCAGCCTTGCGGACAGCTAGCTGCAGGCAGATGAGGCAGCTGTGGACGGTGGCAAGGACGGACAGGCAGGGATGATAAGAGCGATTGCAGCGATTGCAGCAACAGGCCGCCCTCCTCCTCATCTATGTTGCTTAGCATAATCTCCCCTAGGTCTACCTCCATGCCGTCCTTGAGTACCTCATCGCGGTCGTTTTTACTCTGAGGTTTGCGCAGGCATATTTGCTAGTAAGGATGAAAAGAAAAGAATATGTCGTTTCTCAATGGAAAACAAAGAAAAGCTTCGACAATAATAGATCACTTAGTGGGTCAAGCAGAAGGGCATGTTTGGAATAATTCCAATACTAGAAAAAGTGTATTCGGATCCTAGATTCACTTGATCAACCAAAGGTTTTGGTACAGCTCAAGTGTATCTCTCTATCTCACTTACATCCGGTCCCATGCGTTATGGAAATAGAGCATGGATTCATATTCCTCGCGATGATCCCAAGTGCACTGGAGCTCAGAGTTCGTGGGGCCACAGGGCAGGCGGGGTGGGCCCGGGAGCGGGCAACGAGAGGGTGTGTCCATAGGCAGGGCACAACCGACCGGGTAGGGGGCAGAGCGGCCGGCCAGCAGGAGGCAGAGTGTGGGGCGTGAACGACCAGGGGAGCTCATGGGAGGGTGTGGTGCGGCGGCGGAGGTCACGACTGAGGCAGAGGTCACGAACAGGGCAGAGGTCGCGGCCGTGGAGCTTTTGTGGACGGGGCAACAAATATGTTTTGGCTTTTTTTTTCAGGAAAAGAAAGAATTTTCTCAATACATCGAAGTTCTGGGAGATAAGTTCAACAATTTGTAAAACTATTTGCTTGACATATTTAGCTTTTTTCGAAATACCTAATTAAAGAATTACATATTCGATTAGCTATGAAAGAAAGAGAAATCGAACAAATACAAACTTTATAAACCACTAATAATAATTATAGAGTAAAGTGCACTAGCGGTCCCTAAACTTGCGCTGGTGTGTCATCCCGGTCCCTAAATATGCAAAACGGTCGTTTAGTTCCTTAAACTCTGTTCGGGTGTCAAAATAGTCCAAACGGGTCTACATCCACAACTAGGTGCTAACATGGCACACTGCCATATGGGACCCACTTGTCATATCCATCTCCCTCCTCCATCCTCTCGCTGGTATTGATACACACGCCCGCCCCAGCAGCTTGGTGGACGCCCGCGCGTGGACGCACCGAGGCCGCCTTGCGTGCGCCGTCTTCCTCCGCAGGGAGGACTCATCCGCGGTCGTGGACGACGACCGCGTGGCGCACATCCTCGCCTGCCTCGGCCACCTCCTCCGCGGCGATGGGGAAGCCCCGGGTGCCGTCGCAGCCGTGCCCGCCGCAGGCGTCGCGCATGCCGATCGCCGCCTCCACCAGCTCATGGCCGCGGACCTCGAGCGTGCGCCGTCGTTCCCGGGCCCGGCATTGTCCCCGGCCGTGTCCGTGCAGAGCTGAGCCGAGCATGGGTACTCCGTCGTCACGGTGTTGTGCCGCGACCGGCCCAAACTGGTGTTCGACGTGGCATGCACGCTCCACGGCATGGACTACGTCGTCTTCCACGGCACCGTCGACACAGCGGGCGATCGGGCGCGCCAGGAGTTCTACATCCGCCACGCTGACGGGAGCCCCATCCGGTCCGAGGCCGAGAGGGAGAAGCTCAGCCAGTGCCTCCAAGCCGCCATTGAATGGAGATCTCTCGAGGTAATTGGATTCAGTTACTCGATCTCTCGATGATTCGATTTTGATGCTAATGTCGGCATCAAAATCACAATCTTTTTGTAACCAAAATGTATTTCCAAGAAACTAATGTGATTGTTTTCTGAATCTCCATTCAGGGTGTGAGACTGGAGCTGTGCACGCCGGACCGGCCGGGTCTGCTATCAGAGGTGACGCGGACGTTCCGCGAGAACGGGCTGCTCGTCACACAGGCGGAGGTGTCGACGAAGGGGGACCTGGCCTCGAACGTGTTCTGGGCACACCTCCCCCATCTCTCCCATCCATCCTCCACCTCCTCCTCTACAAGCGCCACC